GTTCCATAGCAGCACTATTTACAATAGCCAAGACATGGGAAAAAACTAAATGTCCATCAACAAATGACTGGATAAAGAAGATGTGCCATGTATATATACAATGTAATACTATTTATCCATAAAAAATGAAACAATGCCATTTGCAGCAGCATGGTTGGACCTAGAGATTATCATACTAAGTGAAGAAAGTCAGATAGATAAAGACAAATATGATATATCACTTATATGTAGAATCTTAAAAAAATGATACAAATCTTATTTGCAAACCAAAAATAGACTCATGGACATAGAAAACAAACTATGTTTACCAAATGGAAAAGGGTTGAGGAGGGATACATCAGGAGTTTGGAATTAACAGATAAGCATTACTATATATAAAATAAACAAACAATAAGGACCTACTGTATAGCACAGTCAGCTATATTCAATTTCTTGCAATAGAATAAAATAAGAATATGAAAAAATATATATGTATATTTGTATGTATAACTGAATTGCTTTGCTGTACACCTGAAACTAACACTGTAAATCAGCTACACTTCAATAAAAAACAAAATTTTTTAAAATGAAAATAAAAAATAAAAAGCAGGCAAAACAATTATACTTCACTTTTAATAGCTGGCTCTTTAGAGCATATGGTATAGGAGATCCTTCCTATAATATCAAAATAAAGTTTTATTTTGGATCCAGAGTTTATACTGGGAAGGATAAAGAGGGAAGAAAGTCATTTAGCAAGATCTGCCACAATGCTGAGTTTATCTGAGAGAATGTTTTAAATCAGAAAAGATTTAATTGGCACTAATTGGTAAGTCTAAGATTTTGCATTTTGTTTTATATTGCTTTTAATTTTTTTGTTACATTAATAGTATTCATGGGTCATAAGAGACTTTAATATAGTTTTAAAGGTATAAATTTAATTGTTTTCACATCTAAATAATATGGAGATAATTTTACTCTGCTAGACTCTGTTAAATTCTGGTTAATTTGGTTTTCTATACGTACATAATCAGGAATCACTTTAATATATCTCATTTAAATTTACTCACATTTATAAATTGGACAATTTTGATTTTCATCCTTCCTTAAATGGAGAGAAGTTAGCCACTATTTTCTGTTAAAACAAACAAAAAACTCTTGATAAGTGATTATTTACATTGTATATCATAAGCCAGTCTTTTCTCCCTCACCATAAATAATTCTACTTCCCTTAACCTTTTCATTGACACTTTAACAATCTTCATTCATGTGTTATTCCCACCAGCTTCTTAAATATTTATTATAATGAAAAATTCCCAACTTGATAGAAGTCTAGTAAAAAACCTAATCAGCAGATTACAAAGATTTTATAAAAATGGTAAATTTCAATTCAAACCTTTAAATTTGTTCAATTATTTTTTAATCTTATCTGACTTAAAAGAAAATAAAACTAACTTACCAAGTATATTTATCTTGGCTTGGAAGCAGAACATTCAATATTCATCACCCTGGCTGTGGCTGTTTATACTTCAGAGATGATGGTACAGGCTCACAAAAAAGTAGTAATGTTTTCTTTTTCCTTCTTTTTTTTTTGAGAAGTGCTACTTTAAATTTATATTTATAGTTATTTGAAAGTAGACTCTATGAAATTTGTTTGACTTCTCATGACTTCTCTGGTTCTTTATTTAAAACTATGAGTGTAACTTCAGATTGTTTAATGTGGATTCAACATCTGCATCCTTGGAGTTTTTTGATGCCTTTGTTGATTTTTTTTTTCCTTCTTTGTAGCCACAGATTCAACATCATTAACTTCTACATCCTTATTTGAGTATTCTTTTTGAATCTTTCTAGGGATATTTCGTTGAATTCTTCATATCCCCAAATTTAGTATAAGTATCCTTCAAGTCCTTTAATGAATTATCTCTTAATTTTTAACATCTTTCTTATATTTTTAATGAAGCTTTTCTGAGTCCACCTTTGTATTCTTCTTTCCCCCGTTTAAAAAATTTCATTAATTTTTTGAATCCCCCTTTTCACTCATAGATCCAGTTTCAGAGTACTAAAATTGTTTTTCAAATATGCTTTTGAATTATTATCCGAGGCCTACTTGCCCTTCTTGGCTTCCTTCTTAGCATCCTTCTTGGCATCCTTCTTGGCATCTTTCTTGGCATCCTTCTTTGATTCAGCAGATTCTGTTTCAGTGTCTTTTTTGGCATCTTTCTTGGCTTCTTTTTTGGCATCTTTCTTGGCATCTTTCTTGGAAGCATCCTTTGGTCCACTGTCTGCCTCACTGGGCTTCTTTTTATCTTTCTTGTCTTTTTTATTCTCCTTCTTCTTTGAATCTTTCTTGTCCTTTGACTCATCACCTTTCTCATCAGGTTTCTTCGAATCCTTTTTCCCTTCCTTATCTTTTTTGCCATCTTTCTTTTCACCTTCTGATTCCGAAGCTGACTCTTTGCCCTTCTTTGCACCTTTCTTATCTTTCTTGGAATCTTTCTTTGCATCTCCTTTTTCACCTTCTGATTCTGTAGCTGACTCTTTGCCCTTCTTTGCACCTTTCTTATCTTTCTTGGAATCTTTCTTTGCATCTCCTTTTTCACCTTCTGATTCTGTAGCTGACTCTTTGCCCTTCTTTGCACCTTTCTTATCCTTTCTTGGAATCTTTCTTTGCATCTCCTTTTTCACCTTCTGATTCTGTAGCTGACTCTTTGCCCTTCTTTGCACCTTTCTTATCTTTCTTGGAATCTTTCTTTTCTACTCCTTTTTCACTTTCTGATTCTGTAGCTGATTCTTTACCCTTCTTTGAACCTTTCTTGTCTGTTTTAGAATCTTTCTTTGCACCTGCTTTTTCATCTTCAGATTCTGTAGCTGACTCCTTGCCCTTCTTTGAATCTTTTTTCTTTGTCTTTGCATCTGCTTTCTTGTCTTTAGCTCCTGGTTCTTTCTTTGGACCTTTCTGATCTTTTTTTGCCTCCAGTGAAAATACAGATTCTGTTTCTGAATCAAATTTTTCCTTCTTGTCTTCTTTACTTTTCTTAATTATTGTTGGAGATAAAGGTTTCGCTACCTCTGTTGCTTTAGCATCCTCCCCGGGGCGACGAATTGATTTCTGTTGAGGCTGCCTTCTGGCAGCTAAATAAACAGATGGTCTCTCAGAAATTTTCATTAAAGAACGGTGCATCCATAATGGTCGTCTATGACCTTCCTTTAATTTCTCTTCATCATATTTCTGAAATATTGGTTAGATAATGGTGAATAACTTGTAAGTGTACACAGCCATCATTACCAGATACCAAATAAATGTTAACTTCAACCATGAAAAGATTTTAGATTTTGATTAATAGTGGCTAAACGGTAGATTTCATAGTTTGTTCTGCTTTTTCAATTTTGCTCCTTTTTGTTGCAATAAAGGATAGTCATGCCTCATTTTAGGCCTAAGTTCAATTTAGAGGATCTTCATAGTTCCTTCAAGATTTTATGTTCATAGTTCCCTCAAGATTTTATGTTAAAATTCTTAGAGACCTCCACTGACTAATGATGTATCAGAACCTCTCTTCACAAAATTGAGAGTTTTTTTTGATTTTCTTTGTTTGTTTGTTTTTTGACTCTGTGCTCTTGAGAATTCTTGGACTATCTTACCCACCCTTGATTTCTATGCTAAATCAGAAACTAATTATTCTCTAGTATCTAATAGTTTCATGTTCAGGCATATCCTGCTCTCTCTTGTCACTTTCAAGGTCTCTGGAATTTAGTATGTGCTACCTGTGGTTAAAAGCAAAAGCCTGAAACGTCTCCTGTTTGGTAAGATATACTTTGAGTATCAGATGGGAAACTGCAATAATGAAAGCTGTAACATTCAGTGCACTTTAGTGTGAGCAGAATAGTACATTGTTTTCAAATCCTAATCAAATATTTATAAAAACTTAATAGCAAAAATAGCAATGTTGGAGGAAATGTTAACAATGGAAAAATAAAGGAAAAAAAGAACAAATGAAGGAAAGGAAGGAAGGAAGAAAGGAAGGAAGGAAGAAAATGGATGAGAAGACAGAAGAAATCTAGATCACTACTGATTAGGTTCATTCCCTAAAATAAACAAGAGTTGATGGTACGTTATTTTGTGAAAACCTTTCTTGGAACATTTTCATATTCTGTGATGATTCCAGAAAGATTGGAAAATCTTTTCTAATATTCTGAAGCCTAGATTCTGTATTACAGGAAATGAAAAAGCATAAAACTTCATCAGTGTATAATGTAACTCCATGATTTTAATGAAGGGGTTTCTCCAGCTGGGGAATATTTTCTGAATATTCATACTAACTGTAGCATTAGGATCTCCAGATTTCTGTGCTTCTGGGATATACATTTTCTATAATTCGTTGCTGAACAAATAGTTAATATGAGATAAAGGGACAATTTTTATATAGTGAAATGCAAGTAAAATATATCTACTTTTTCCATGTAGTAGAATTTGAATAACCTTTAACTGTGCTGTCCAATATGATTGAATTATAAAATTTAATTCTTCCGTTGCAGTAGCCTCATTTCAAGTGTTCAGCAGCCACACTGGAATTGAAATCCAAAGATACAAAATATTTTCATCATCACGGAAATCCCATTGGTCAATTCTGATCTGTGACATATCTAGCTACACATGATTTCACATGATTTTTATGGGTAAAATTATGTGATCTTTTCAATACTCACAGGAACTGTATTGTCACGTAGTTGGGAAGGTTTTGATCTCCTTTTTGTTCCTGGCCGTGGTGGCTTGGGAAATAGCAGGGTAAAGTGCTGCTGATTCCATGATTTTTTGCTTAATTCACTGACTAAGATAAAACATTAAACGTACACTTAAGAGTAAATATAATTTCATCAGCTCTAAGATGGCAGTAACGTGATTTTATGTAAAGGAACAAATGATTCAATTATGGTGTCACTTATTTAGTAATGTTTGAAATATTTTACTATTAATATGAAACAATAAAAATTAATTTAAAAAAATTGACTAGTTTCACAGTTAATCATAAAGTCATTGTAAAACTAACATAGTCTGTAATGTAAATGGAAAGAAACAGTTTTACTGTTTCCTTTTAATCTTTTCTATCTCTGCCAGCCTAGATTTTTGCTTAATATTCTTGGTTAGAATACAATTCTATTGAGAACAGAAAGTATGGTATCTACTTCTATAGCTTCCAAAGTGCTTAGCACAATGCTTCTTTAAAATATTCAGTAAATACATAATTAAATCTAAATGCTAATGTTTAAGATCCCCTTACTTAGTAATCATTTTCTAAGCCACAGGAGTAAATGTTATACACTTAAGAACTACATTGTCATAGGTGGCATACTTAATGAAGAAGATTGATAAGTAAAGAGTATCTACAGAATTGTGATTTAGAGGGTAGAGTCACCGAAAACTATAATATAAATTTTTAAAAACTTTTAGTTTACCAGTCAGTGAGACCAGTGAGAGAGTTGTCCTCACTCAATATTTTTTGCCTTTTTCAGTTTTATTATTACGTAGAATTATTACAGTTCGACTGCACATACACATAATATTGCATGTGTATACGTATATACAGTATACTGCATGTTTTGTTTTAGTTTTCATATATGTACTAATTAT